TGCCGCGAAGCGCTGTCGCACGCGGCGGTGCGTGCTGCGATGGACGTCGTGGAGGCGGGCGTCGTGGTCGTTCCCCCGGCGTCGCTCGGGAATCCCTACTACGTCGACAAGATCCGGGTGTTCGTGGAGAAGGGGCAGGCTCATGCAGGTGTTCGTCGGGCTCAAGAACGGCGACTGCCACGCGGAGGACGTCGTGGAGAAGCATGGCGAACTGTGGGGGAGGGTCAGCGGCCACATGTGTTAGTTATACGACGGCGGCGAGCGGGATTGGAGGCAGGCCGTGGGCGCTCTGTCCCGTGTGGAATCAGTCGTGGAGGTGGAGATCCGGCGAGTTGCAGCGTAGAGCTCCGACGAGCGGATGGGGAGATCGATCTCGATTTCATCTGTGCTTCCACCTCACGCCGCGCCAGCTCCGCGAGCTGGTGGCAGAGCAAGTCCCCTTTGATCCGCCGTCCGCGTCCGCCGGTGGCGACTTCTGGTGGCGGATCACACGGCACATACATGTCACGCAGCACGCGATCCGTCGCCAGCATTGAATAACCAGCCTCAGGGAAGAACGGATCCTCCTCGAATTCATCTCCCGCCCTTCCACCGCCACTGCCAACGCGGCGAGCTCGGTGGCCCTCAGGCATCTGGAGAAACCCTCCATAGGCACCCAGCACAGAGGAACCTGTCCTCCCCGCACACTCCACCGCATCCTCCAACTCCAGCGACGGTGGTGACACGCGCCGCCGCGAGTGTAATACCCTTAGTTTCGAATTAGTGTATTTCGAAAAAAAAATTAGAATAAACGCGCAATAGTTCAACTTTTAAACCGTTGTTCGAATAGGCGATCAGGAACCGTGGATGCGTAGGGCTTGTCATGTACTGCGAAATAGACTATAACTTTATAGTAATCGGAATCCGAATGAAGTCCCGAGGATTAAAACAATGTGGACCGTTGATCTCCTTTTCAGTCTCTATATAACCAATAGAAAAAAACAGGGGCAAAGAGAGGGAACGATCCCAGCCCTAACCGTCATCTCTGTTTGGGGCGCCGCCATCGCCGGATGTCGCCGAGCGTCGCCGGTCGCCGCTGCCGCTGTTGTTGTGTTTCTCCTATTCCTAGCGGTAGGTTTGGATTTTCCCCTTCTCCTCTGTATGATGCCGCTGCAGCACCGTCCTCCTGCTGCTGCTGCGATGTGATCTATTCCTGTTGTTGCTGCTGCTTGTGCATGCTAGCGTTCCTTGTTGTTTCTGCTGTTGTTGTGTGTGTTGATCTGTTGCTGCTATGGGTTGATGGAGCCTTTCAGAGAAAGGAAGAGCAGAGAAGGAACAGGGGAGACTGTCAAAATTCTTAATGAATTTAGGACTGAGTGGTTTTATGTACCGTAGTGTGTAGCATTCTAGGTAAGAGAATACCTGGGGTGTTACAGCGAGGCGCTCCTCGTACCCGGCGCAGAGCGGCGCCCGCGCGTGGCACCGTGATAGCGCGTTGGCACCATGTACGTGGCCGAGGCCACCACCACATTACTCCAACCCAACAACCCGCCACCCCGCCGCGGCGCACGTGCTCGAGGCGTAGGAGGAGGAGCAGGTGCAGAAGCCCGCAATGTCCGTCGTCGCCATCGCGGCGTCAGCGTCGTTCTCCGCCGCAATGACCACCCGACGCCACACATCAGACGTGTGGAGAGATAGGAGAGCTGACATGTGGGTACAAGGGCATTTATCTCTCCTTTTCAACCGGAAATTATTATTCTAATCGGCATGGTGTCCATTGGCAAATTACCACATTTATGGAGTGTCTTCTCCCAAAGTGAGTTTCGGTGGTGTCCTATTGTTAAAACCATGAAATCGTAGTGTCCTGTAGCAAAATTTGCCTATATTTTAAGAGGATTGCTAGAGCACGAAATACTATATAGACGGTACACTTTATAAAGCTAATCACTGATCTCCTATCTCCACACTTTTATGCTCACAAACGGCAAAAGAGCGAAGAAGCAGAAACGCCCCACGTGCTCCCTACCCTCACTGGCCACAACAACAACGTGGAAGGAGCAAGACGTCGAGGAGGAGAGGCACCAATGGCAGGTGGCTCCCTGGTCGGCCAAGCGACGACAGCATGCTCCCTCTCCCTGGCCTTAACATGCTACCTGATACCCGCATTTACCAGATCAACATGGTATTGATACATGATACCAAACATCTGGTACCTATGGATATCGGCTTGTACCTAGGTACTAGGCCTAGTACCTAGAAGTACCAGATGCCTACTTGGGTATCAAGCCTGCTAGCCCCAAGTATTAGGGGTCTGGAACCCTTTGTACCTAGGTACCAAGGGCGATATCAGAGTATCCAACATGACGCCAATGATGTACTTAGCTGCACACAACACTGGCGAGCAGAAGCGATGGGTTAATAAGGAGCACGGTGGCTTACAGTGCTGCTTGCGCGACAACCTTCAGTCCTACAAGAAGAACCTCAATGACCTCCCTTCCACTTTGCTAACTACAAGATCGCCCTCCACATATAGACCAACCAGTTCCACCTTCGTCCCGGTGCCTGGACCTCATCCCCCTTGGCCTTGTCGTCTCCTTTTCCTTCTCATCATACAAGACAACACCCAACCTTGCCGCCACGCTTGCCCTATGCCCTCACTACCATTCACTCTCTGTCATGCCCAGGCTATTCTAGGAAGGGAGAAAGCGGATAAGGATGTCTCCAGCATTAGGGATGATGGTCGACGAGTCGAGGAAGAACTAGTACAAAAATTGTTTTTCCACACAGCCAAACCGGTTTTCGCATATGGCTGGGCAGCTCGCCTGCACCTAGGTGTCAGCGAAAATCAATATTTTTCCATGCGAACAGCACAACTGCATGCGAAAAATCCCTTTTTCACATGTGGTCACCTATGCCGGCTTCCTGCGAAAATAATTTCGGCAAAAAAACCCCAAAAACAAATTTGGCCGAAACCTTAGCTCATCATCGTCGTCACCACAGCCGCCACCGCTATTGTCGTCATTGTCGGAGCCGTCGCCGCTCCCGAGGACGGGGGCGGCGGATTCACCACCATCGTCGCTCCCGAGGCCGCCAGATTAGCGCTCTGCCACAGGCCACCCCTGAGGCCACTGTCTCCGCGTGCCGATGCTGCCCGCTCGTGAAGTCGTCGTCTCCACCTCAGCCACCGGCGATGGAGAAGAGAAGGGTGAAAGTGAAGAGGAAGAGATGGGGAGAGGGAGTGGAAGAGGAAGGGGAAGCGGTGGAGAGGAGGAAACAGAGAAGAGCAAAAAGGAGTGATGCGGTGAGAAGAGGAGAAAATAAAGGTGGGCGGCTAGTGGGGGCACACGTGAGGTCCATTTTCTTTGCACGCTGCCACATGTGAAAAATATTGTTTTGCATGTGGCCCCTAAACCGTTCTCCAAGGGAGCGATTTTTGCAAGCGACAATAGTAATGGCCCACTTGCAACCTACAAGGGTTCTCATCTAGTAAAATCGTTTCTGTAGTTGTAGAGGGAGGTGGAGGAGGAAGGGGATTGGTCATCCGACAACTAGGGGTGGAGGAATTGATGGAGGGAGGAGACAAATGAAGCGACTTACTGCTCGGTGGGGAAGAAAAAGAAGTCGGTGGGGAAGCGGATTTGGGAGAAACGGATATGAGGATAACGTTGTTTTATCCCGTTCTCCTTATGAGATCCCCTGTTCTTATTTTTCTGATGTATTATTAAACATCTCTTGCTTGCGTTTCTACGAGTACAATTGTAAGATATCTCTAGCGCTCAACTCTTATTCATTTTTCCATGCATATATATCATTTTTGTTTTGTATGAACCATAGATAGTTTCAGCATTATGTATAACATGGCCCTATTAGGGTACATCTTTCTCTTTTTCTATGGTTAAAGTGGTAATTTCTATGCTTCCAAAATAACCAGATAGGCCGATTTCGGTCTCTCCTATAATATAATACTAGGTGATTTATCGCGCTTTGCTGCGGAAATTACTAAGCAATTTTCAATATATATTTTCCGACAATTGAACTAGGAGTAATAAGAAAAGAAAATAATGAAAGGTGAGGGTTTATCGGAACATATCTAAGACAAACAAATGATACCTGTGATGTAATGTGGAACATGCATATCGATAAGTATATATTAAATATTATAAAAATGATAGATATATTTGTTAAAATATTATGGAAATGATGTGAGGGGTGATGTTAGATATACTTGCATGTTGATTTGTAGAATTAAATAAATTATAGATGATGTTGTAATTTGTATGTTTGCTGGAGGTTACATATATAATTATTGCTAGTGGATGATGATGTGATATGATTACATGTTGAGCTTTAGAAGTTAGTAGGCATCAATTTTAATTTATAGTAAGATAGGATATAAAAGTAGGATACATTGTTTACGTGTCAATAAATTTACTTTCATACATTTGCTTCTATACGGTTAGAATCATGCCATTAACTTTTATACCCCTTCAGGCTATGTTTAGATTTAAAGTTTGGATCCAAACTTCAGTCCTTTTCCATCAAATCAATCTGTCATACACATACAACTTTTCAGTCACATCATCTCCAATTTAAACCAAAATCTAAACTTTACGCTGAACTAAAAGACAGCCTCAATAGGTTTTCAATCCTTTGCGGTTGTCTTGGAGAAGAACAAAAGTTCGATACACAACGATGAGAAGCACACGCATTCGACTAGTCTTCGAGAGAGAGAGAGACTAGTACTCATTGACAGTAACAGCCTAACAGTAGAGCAGAACTAATTCAACCAGGTGGCGGCCGGGAACTGGTCAATACACATTTGCAAAGGTCCAAAACTAACAAGCGGAAGTGGACCCGATCTTACTGTAGACCGGTGTGTACACGTGAAGAAACGCTCATGAGTCGCTTGTACACATCTCGCCTACGGCCAAAAGGAAGGAGCCGAGCTGTATATGTGCGTGTGTGTGTGTATATATATAAGTGGCATTAAAATTAGCAATCTCCTCAGCACACGCAAGAATTGAAGGTCCATCCATCATGGCGCTCGTCGCCGTGGCCGGGAGCAGCCGATCCACCAACACGGCCCTCGAAGAGAAGGTCGCCGGAGTCGCAGCGCTCATCGACAAGTGGCGTCCTGACGACGGCCAGTGCTCTCTTTTCCTTGACGGCAGCCGTCGTGAGGCTGGTCGGTTTCTGTGCGCCGCCGTTGAGTTGCACGGCGCCATGCTCCTCGTCGCGTCGGACGTCGACCAAGAACGTGGCGATGAGTGCCTTGTTCGCGCGCAGGGGGTTCTCGAGGCCGCCATGCGGAGGCTTCAGCTCGAGCTGGAGCTTCTCCTGTCGACCGTGAGGTCTAACGCCGTCGACGGCGCCATCTCCGGCCACGACGTTGTGGGCGACGCTGGTGTTGTAGGGCATATAACGATGGTCGCCGACGCCATGATGGCCGCCGGGTATGGCATGGAGTGTGTCTCCACCTTCAACTCGCACCGCCGTGCGGAGTTTGCTGCCGCGGTGCGCCGCCTGCTCGGCTTCGCGCCGTCGCAGCACGCGCATTTCCATAAGCTCACATGGGAAGACGTGGACGGCAAGGTGCAGTCATGGCACACCGCCGCGGGATTCGCGTTCAACTTCGCCTTCTCCCGGGAGAGGGTGCTCTGTCACCGCGTGTTCGCCGCGGACGCGGCCTTGGCTGACAAGGTGTTCGCGGGGATTGCCAGCGACCACGCTGCGGACCTCCTCGCCGTCGCCGAGGCCGCCGTGATGCGCGCCCGCCGCGCCCCGGAGCGGCTGTTCCACGTGCTCGACGTCCATGCCACCCTCGCCGAGATACTTCCGGCGATCGCGTGCATCCTGGGTGACAAATCGGAGGCCGCCGCCCGCGCCACCGCCGCTCTTAGGAACGCCGGCAATGCGGCGCGTGGTATTCTGATGAGCTTGGAGCAGGCAATCCAGAAGACGACGTCGTCCAAGGCGGCGGTGACAGGCAGCGCCGTGCACCCGCTCACCCGCTACGTAATGAATTATCTCGTCCTCCTCGCCGACTACGAGGATACCCTTGCTCGCATTTACCAACAAGGCGAAAGCACGCTAACGTCCGGCTCCGGCAGCGCCTCGCGGGTCTCCCCGTCGTCGTCGGCGGACTCAATTGGCCGTCTCGTCTCCGTCTTGCAGCGGAAGCTGGAAGCCATGGCAGTGGGGTACCGGCCTTCGGCGTTGAGGTCCCTGTTCATGGCGAATAACACGCACTACGTGAGCAAGAAAGTGCGCGGCAGCAGCAAGCTGGAGGGCATCGTCGGCGAGGACTGGATAGAGGAGCAGATGGCTGAGACAAGGCGCCACGTCGATGCATTCGTGCACTCGGCGTGGCGAGACGTGCTGGTGGCTGGCGGCGAGGGCGCAGACGCGGCGGTTAAGGAAGCGGTGGCGACGCAGCGGAGTTGGGTGGTAGCAGACGACGAGATGGGCGACGCGGTGAGGGCGGCGGCGGCCGCGGTGGTGGTGCCGGCGTACCGGGCACTCTATCGACGGCACGGCACGGCGGCGTGGATGACACCGGGGGACGTGAATGCGATGATCAGCAGGCAATTCGGTGGGTTGCGGAATGAAGCGGCAGGTGCCAGGCCAGTCTCAGCCGGCAGTGCAACGTCGCGACGCCATCGTTTGCGACTCACCTCTTTCTCGGACAAATTGGCCCATGTACAGTAGCACAGTCCAAGTAGGAAGCCCAAGCCCATTAATTATACGGCACAATTATTTTGCTAATATCCCTACCATTTTTTTAGTTCACTAGAATCTATCCATTCACTACTCTCTTTTTTTTTTGTATAAACACATTTTGATCAAAGATATAAAGTGTTTGTTTGGTCTATTTGAGTATAAAGAAAAGGATTGTCTATGTGACAGTCTGCTGAAAAGTTTTGAACTTTTAGCAAGATTTTTCACCGTACGATCCGAACATGTTGACACGCGTAGCGCCCCCCCCCCCCCCTCCTCCCCCAACAACGTACCGCATGCAAAGAAGAGCTCTCGTGTTGTTTCTTTCATTCCGTAGTTTTGTGAGTGAATCGGAGAAAAAGGCACACAAGTGGGCCTTTGGTTTTCTTATACTTCTTCCGTCTCAAAATATAAGTATTTTTAAATTTCAATATAGTATTCGAGATGTTAATTTGACTAGTAATATATATAAAAGTAAGATACATAATTGTATATGATAAGAATTTGTTTAATGATAAATCTAGTAAGATCAATTTTACATGATTGATTTTTTCTATTAATAGTCAAAGTTAAAAATAATTGAGTTTATACTATTCTAAAAATACTTATATTTTGAGACGAAGGGAGTCAATACTTAAAATAGTAAATGGTCTTTCAGGTTAGCCACTTAAGCCCAGGGGAAATAAAGAGAGAAATAAATAATTCTCGGCCCACATGGCCGCATCTTCCAGCAAAAAAAAAGTCAAGATAAGTGGATGTTGGACTTTACAATTTCTTAACTAGATACCCCGTACTTTGCTACGGGATATATGGATAAATGCATGTTATACATTATCGAAATGATAGATGGCTATGTTTAAATAATGTTAAAATAATATGTTGTCAATGATTTGACATTGCTTGCATATTAAGCTTTAAAAATACTATAAAATTGTAGATGATATGTCATCTTTACATGATATTTAAAATAATGTAGATACTAATCGCTAATTGCTAGTGGTGATAATGTGACACACTTGCATGTGATTTAAAATATTCTAGATAATAATTGCTAGTGGGTGATAATATGGCACATTTGCATGTTGAGCTTTGGGAGTTATTGGGTATCAACTACGGATAGTATAGATAAGTAAATGGGCTTTTGAGGTTTGCTATTTAAGCCCAAGAAAAAATACATGCTTATTCATCATGACCCCACCCCCATACTCCACAACCACATGTTCCAGCCAGAAAGAACTCATTCTATGTTGCTAACGGAACAAAGTTTAGGTCTTCCTCTGTTGCTAACAAAACAACACTATTAATTGCTCAACTAGTCATGCACTTACAAAACTTTTTTTTTTTGAAAAAGTACGAGAACCACGCTACATTTCATTAAGAAGAGAAACATTTACAAAGAAAGATCTAAAGTATTCCCCGAGCAACATCAAAAAGTAAAAAAAAAAAAAGGCATCACACCATGGCACACCACTAAAATAACGCTAAGAGAAACTAGCCATCAAGAGGTAGCAACCTACAAAGAAGCTCATGGGGCGCTTTGTCTCCAGCGATACTCCAAAGGTACTCTCTAGCCATTGTTTGAACAACCACCAAAACATTAAATTTAACTACATTAAAAACACCGATGCTTTCAAATTTCCTAAGCCACATGGATAAACAAGAAATTCAAGCCCTTCTCCTCCTTAGGGATATTTTGGATGGCTTTAAACCAACTAGTTAGATAAACGAGTTGAAGAGCGCTAAGGTGTTGTAGCTGCCCTTCCAATCTTCTCACGGACCAAAAAACCAAACTTGCCGAGAGAAAAACACATTTGACAAAACTGATATTCAAATTGAAAGTGTCAATTAGGCCTAGAGGGGGGGGTGAATAGGCTAATTCAAAAAACAACTAAAAGCGGAAGCAGTAATTTTTGGATATTTCCGAAATTTTCGGATATATCCGAAAATTTTCGGAGTCAGCACAAACAGCAAAGTAAATCCTAGATCTGGTTGCCTACAACAAGAATATGCTAGCACAAACAGCAACTAGACCTATAGCGGCTCAAACAAGCAAAGCAAGTGGAGAGGGAGGAAGTGAAGTCACCAAAGATGAAGCTCACGAGGTTGTTCCCGAAGTTCGAATCCTTGAGGGGATTCTACTCTCCGTTGAGGAGCTCACTAAGAGCCGGGTCTTAGCTAACCCTTTCCTCAAGAGGTTGCACTAAGCACTACTCCTTCCACTAAGGGTATCTCTTCCCTTTCGGAGGTGAGATCCGACCTTCACAAACTTCTCCCGGCCAAGCACAAGTAGATCGGTGGCTCGGGAGCGACACCTAGCCGCCTAGGAGTCCTCAACCTCCAAGAGTAACAAATGAAGCAAATAACTCCCGGAGATGATGCAAGTGCTCACAAATCTTCACGAAGTCAACAACAAGCACTCACACAAACTCGAATCCACAACTCTCACACACACACCAAATCCAAATCGAACACGGGTGAGAGGGGAAACAAGAAAGCAAGCCTCAAAAGTGGTAGAGAGAGAGCAAGCCAAGGGCACAAATGATTGGAATGGAACCAGCAGCCCTCACAAGTGAGGGGAGGGGGCTATTTATAGCCATAGCCCAGATTCTACCCGTTGTGCACAATAATTGAGATTCTCGGATATTCCGAAAGATTTTCGGACATGTCCGAAAATTCCAGCTCAGCACCAACAGCTATGTCAACGAAGGATTTTTCGGACATTCCGAAAACTTTTCGGACAAGTCCGAAAATTTCCAGTACCAACAACATCGTTCTGGATGTTCTCGGAAAAGTCCGAAAATAAGTTTCGGACAAGTCCGAAAATATACAGAAGCGAAATTGACTCTACTGAAGATTTTCGGAAAATCCGAAAATCAGTTTCGGACAAGTCCGAAAATATACAGAACCACTTTTGCCTTCGCAGTCTTTTTTGGAAAGTCCGAAAATCACTTTCGGATATATCCGAAAATTTCCAGAAGCGAAAATCTTGTTCTATGTGTTTTCGGAAAGTCCGAAAATGAGTTTCGGAAAACTCCGAAAAAATCCAGAACACACCAAACAGAGGAGAAACACTTTTTAAAAATAGATTTTGAGCACTTTGATCACTCCTCGTATGTCAATGCATCATCCCTCTTAATAGTTCGGCTTTCCTATTAACTCAAGGAAACGAAAACGTACAAAATACCATTTGCTCATTTGCCGCATCACATCACATCAACGTATTCGGCGGGATATGCATTACGCTAACTCATTGAGGACATAACAACCTTCACATTTGCTTAAATAAAAATGTTAGTCCTCTCTAATCGCATTGTAATTAATCACCAAAATCATTAGGGGCCTAGATGCACTTTCAATCACCCCTTTTTGGTGATTGATGACAATACGATTAGAACACAAGAGAGAATGAATATAATTTAAGGTTTTTGGTGCAAAGTTTTAGTGGAAGCTCCACCTAAGAGTGCATAAAAGTAAGTGGAGAGCTCCCCCTAAATTATTGCATCCACATTGAAGCTCACAAGAGAATAAATATATCACATATGCTCATCACATCCAACACATCACATGCAAATGAATAATTACATCTCATCACAAGCACCATATAAAGAGGATAAGGCATTGCACCACATTAAAGATAATAAGATCCATTACATCACAAGCATTCATAATTAAACAAAAGTCTTACAAAGCTTTAAACTTTAACATAAAAACCACAATAGTCTCATACAGATAAAAACCAACAGTGCTCGACTCTAAGGACAAGATAGATAAACTAAAGCCATGATAGATATTCTCCCCCTTTGGCATCAAGACACCAAAAAGAGAGGACAATGAGCTGACGACTCAAGCGAAGGGCGCCTGAGGAGGGTCCTCGGGAGGTGGTGGAGGAGGATAGCCATAGCCATGGCCATATCCAAAGAAGTCGAAGTCGGAAGGCAACCCGGCAAAAGGATCCTCAATCTCTTCATCCTCTGGCTCATTGGGCTCGGCCTCGAAACCCGGAGGAGAAGGAGGGATAGCAATGTGGTGGTCCTCATAATACCGTGCCTTTAGGAACTTGACATCACGAGCCATCTTCTTCGCCGAATTCCACAATCGGCGGTTCTTTTTGGCCTCCGCGGAGCAAAGATCAAAAAGACTCCGCAAAATGCGGAATAAGGGAGACGGCTCACGACGAGCCACAGAGACAGGGCGCTCAGGAGCAGGAGGCGGCTGAGTAGAAGAGGAGGGTATGTCCCGAGCAGCTGAGGAACGGGGGCCTTAAGAAGGCACAAGTGAAGCTGAGAATGAGTCACATCATGGCGAAACTGGAGCTGAGTCACAGTCTCGATCATCCGCATAATGTGAGGGGGATAGACCAACGCCTTCTTGTACTGAATTGAAGCCATGCGGTTCTCCTCCCACACAAAGTGATATACATGGAATCGATGAGGAGGGGGATCAAACCGGAGAAGCACGGTCCTAGAGAGATGGTTAATGCTGCTAGCATCACCATCCTTAGGCACAAAAGACCGGCGAAACATCCGGTTCAAGTAGGCAAAGTACGGCTTGAGGCCGTCGACCTTACCCAACACCACATTTGGATCATTTGGAGTGTAAAGGGGAAGCAAGTCTGTGTTGGCAGGAATTTGAAGATCATGAAGGTCATCAAGGTTTAGCAAAGAACGAAGACGGAAGCCCCAGATCTTAGCCAACTGCTGATAAGAAACAGAGTAACAGGACCCCTGAGTCATCCAGTGCAAGGCACGATAGCGATCAAAGTATACGGTGGCATAAAACTGAGCAATGATCTCGTTGCACCAATTGTGCTGCAACGTCATGAAGGAGAGGATACCCATGAGATCACAATTGGCAATCACAGAGTTAATCACCGGATCATTGTGTGCCTGCAACTCCTCCCAATTGATCCATTGCATGGGAACAGTGGGATGAGCTTTGGACTTAATTACAGACTCATAAAAGTCTTGTTGAAAGAGAGTCCAAAACCGCGGATCCGTGGCGGTGCGGCGAAGGGAGCGCGGATCCTCATCCCGACGAGGAGCAACAACCTCAGACTTGCGCCGCCAATCATACACTTGGCGAATCACCGCCGGATCCCTCTCGGGGGTATGAATGCGGAGAGGCCCAATGGGGACATTGGGTTGGTGCGGCGGCGTTTGCGGTTGATGAGAGGAGCCCTCACCATCA